GAGAAACAAGGGTGGGTGTGTGTATGTGCCTCTCAGAATTTGTGGATGTTCAAGGTATGTGTGCGTTCTTATTATTGGTACTAGTCAACCACCAAACATCCACCCAAAACTTAAAATTTCTTCAGAAGATGTAAAATTCTAGTTGTACAACATTTTTGCTAGTAGAACACTTCTGTCACTTTTAATGTGCATTAGTCAGAGCTGTCTGTTGTCTCTTTGATGCTTTCTAATCATTTTGACTTGGCTCACATCTCATAATCGTTATGTAAGCACATGCTCTGGCTGACAGCACTCTAGTCTCCACTCAGGGAGTTGGTCACATGACCTGCCTGCTCTCAGCCTGACTCTTATTGGTGACTGCTGTCTTCATTCGTGACATTTATTTCAAAATGAGGAATTATGGATTTGTGATGAACCTGGCTGTATAGGCAATTTTGGGAGATGCTTGGGATGGCACTCAAAATGTAATTGCATATTTTGCAGAATATATATATATATAAAAAAAATAAGGCTTAAATATAATGGTAAAATATATGCATGCTTCTCAACAGTCAATAATTTTTCTCTATTTACTTTTCAAAAGTTTGGGGTTGGTAAGATTTTTTTTAAAAATGTTTTTGAAAGATGCTTTCCAAGGCTGCATTTATTTGATTTAAAATACAGTAAAACTGTTAAATCCTATACAATCAAAAAAAAAATCTATTTGAATATATTTTAAAATGCAATTTATTGCTGTAATGGCAAAGCTGAATTTTCCAAAAGTCATTACTCCAGTATTCAGTGTCGCATGATCTTTCAGAAATTGTTCTAATATGCAGATTTGGTCAAGAAACATTTCTTACTATTATCAATGTGAAAGTCAGGTTGTGCTGCTTAATAATTTGTGGAAACCGTGATGCATCTTTTTCAGGATTCTATGATTAAAAAGCATTTATTTCAAATGGAAATCTTTTGTAAGATGAGTCTTTACTCTTGACTCATCTAATGTATCCTTGCAGAATAAAAGTAATAATTTACTTTAAAAAAAAATTAAATCGAATATCCTACTGACCCCAAAATCGAACTTTTTTTTTTATTTGAAAAGAAATTATGTAAAATGTAGTTTCATGACGGGCACAAAATATTTAAAACTGGTACATTTTCTCAATTCACTCGCTATTGTCAGATGTGGCCTAATTTAATTTTGGATTATTCATACGCCTCTCATACGACTTCTGATGCTTCTCCTACCCCTCCTCACATACATAAAAATCTGCCATTACTCGCTTTATTCCAAATCATCTTCACAGAACATGAGGCAAAGCAGCTTTCAAAGCTGTGCATGTAAGTCTTAAGGCATTCAATGACCATTTAATGACCCTGAATCACTTGTTAAACACATTAACTTATTTCTCTTCACTCTGACAACTCAAAGGTTCTGGTGGGTAGACGATGACGTTATGAGTGAGCCAAGCTTCAGTGTTTAAGAAGACTGAATCAATAGGAAGCTGTCATTCACATCTACATCAGCACATGGACCTGCCATAACCCGACTCCACACGGTCACAGCCCATGTCTCAAGCCACCTCTCACTGACCAACTGCAGAAAATCTCTTGCACCTCGACTTCCGCTCAACCCCCTTTCCCCTTTTGTGACTGCCTCCAAGGCTACCGATGTCAAGATCATGTAAGAGCCAAGCAAGTCGGTTTTGGGAAGTATGTCGTGTTGTGTTGGCTCGGAGGGGGGTTGTGTTTTTAAAAGCGTGTGTTCGCCACAGTGACCCATTTCGACACTATGCCAAGCTGATCAGAAAGAAGAGCGAGAAGGACTGAGAGGTCCTCGTGAATACGCCTCCCACTGTGCGGAAACCCAGGCAAGCAGCTGTTATTATGATTCAGCGGCTTGTGCGTGAACGTGCGAGCGTTTCCATAGAACCCTAGAGAAAAGCGAGCTCTCTTTAGACCCCAATGGCAGAGCTGAAAGTTTAATGAGGTCATAAGGGTCTGTATGGGTCTTCAACTTAATGCGCTTTGCCATTCAGTTGGCTTTAATGGCTACAAGCGCGCACACACACACACACACACACACACACATTGAGACTTCATTTAAGTTGGTGTCTGTGTGCTTATTAGAGGGATATGTTTGGCCGATGAGTGTTCCACAGGTCTCTGGACTCTGGTGCGTTCTGAGCCTGCATGTGCTTTATGTACAGTGGGGAAAAAAAGTATTTAGTCAGCCACCAATTGCTGCATGGAAGTGAGTTTAACAACATGTGGCTAATCCCCTCTATTGAATTTTATGGTTCTCATATTATCATTCTTTCACTGGGATTTACATAAGTGTGTTGGGTTTGACAGGGAGATTAGTGCCCTTGTGACATAAGCACATCCTTCAGGCAGTCGTCTTTATGATGTTGTCTTTGTTTCTTCAAAGGTTAATTTGTTTTTTTGGGGGGGGGGGGCGAGGGAATAATTCTGCTTCCAAACCTGTTTGCCTGACTTTCTTCTGTAGAACAAAAAATTAAATGTTTAGCAGAATGTCTAAGTTGCCCTTTTTTAGTATAGTGAGTGTAAATGGGGACTATGACTGTCAAGCATGTCCAGTGAACAATGACTTAAATAACCCAGAGCTATTGCATGGCTTCATATGATTTGGAATATAGTGCTTGAGTTTTATGACCTGTTTTATGACACTTTAATGCTGCTTTTGCATTTTTTGGAAGCTTGAAAGCTCTATTAATTGTAATTGCATGGAAAAGAGTGACTTTAAAGTCACGATGATATTTTCTTCCATATTGTGATGTACATCTGAGTGAAACAGATTAATGAAAGAGAAAATATGTAGTACGGAGACTTGGATCTGTCGGTTGTTGATAAGTTGGAGGCAGATCTGAATGTGAGCTTGAAGTTGATTGTAAGAAAAGGGCATGGTTTAAGCATACAAAATGAGTAGAGAAGTCCGGCATACATCAAAATCTGTTTCACTGGAAGATCGAGTTATGACATGATTGAAAAAATTACTAGCTCAATTTTTTTTAATTAAAACATATGCATGGATAAATCATTCACAATAAGATCTAGCACATGCATTTAGAGAACAGACTTCATTAAGAGCACATTTCAAATCTATCCTTTTGTGTTTAACAAAAGAAAGTCAAATGGGTTTGGGGTTCATTTTTGGTTGAACGTTTCCTCCTCCTTGTTTTCACAATTTTTATGTTTTTCTGTCTCTTACTGGGTCTGACCCCACTGTGTCTCTCTGACTGCCTTGGTTCTCTAAGAATGACTGCATTGTGCAGTATAACCTAGTCTGGCACAGCCTCTCTTTCTATTTTTCTGTGTCTCTTGAAGGTCAGATCAGTAGGGAGCCTGTGTCAGCAGAAATCAAATGGCATCTTGTCCCCTAAAAGTAGAGAGACTGAGCAACAGCTGTTCTGAGGGGGGAAAAACCCCACTTCAACCAACTGAAGTAATGTCAGAAAACTGAAATTTATGTCTGTGTTTACCACAGAAAACCTTGGGAATGTAAAATACTCACCCCTCACTATATACATGATTTTTTCCCCCCTCATAATACTTGGCAGTAACCACAAGTCTACAAAGCTAAAAAATGCTCAGAGTCATGCTGTGAGATATAAGTGCTCTCATGGCAGAAATGCACAACAACTCTGAAGGAGCCTTCTGCAGCTCATCTGGCTTGTTGTGAAGTGGCATTCAGACTAGTGTTGTGATGTCAGAGCCCGTGCGCATGTGTGAGTACGGAGTCTGCGTCAGCGACGTACAGTGGTGGCATTTTGCTGGTGTCACGTGGCTGTGTGTTTTACAGCAGGGAGTAGAGCAAAGAGAAACAAGCATTTTGGAAGCAATAAATAATGAATAATTCATCTTCTGATAACCCACCATGCAAAATGAGGGCAGAGATATGTGGCATAGTGTGGGCCCTTTATTACACTAATTAGGCAAACATCCATTCAAGAGTTTGGATTCAAAATAATATATAATATACCATATAATATTTAAATATATGTTTGCCTAATAGGTGCACCCACATATATTATATAATTTGGCTGAACAAATGTTTGATCAAGTAAATGCAGCCTTGGTGAGAATTTTTCTTGAAAGAGACATCATTCAAAAACATAAAAACTTGCAGACCCCAGACTTTTGAATCGTAGTGCAGTTGTCCCGCAGACATGGAAAGACATGTTTTCCCTTATAAGTCATCTTGTTTTGTACAGATTTAGGCAGAGTGTTGAATAAGAGAGGCAGTGGAGCTGTCCAGGGTGCTTAAACTGTGTTTGTGAGTGCTGGGCGTTGTCTGTGGTTCTGAATTATAGGCTACATGGCAACAAGCCTTGTCCAAGGTGCTGATTCAGAGCCCAAGCTCTATCTATATCAAGGGCATTTTTTAAAAGTGTTTCAACTTGCCTATGTTAGTTTACACAGTCCTGTACTTGTCCGAATTGCTGAATAACAACATTCAAGGGTTCACTGTTCATTTTAATTTAGTTTAGAAGCAGAGTTTCACATTAGGGCTTTGTAAATGTAGAAATGCAGCAGAAATGACAAATGGCAACATGAATTTGCTTCACAGGCCTCTTGGGCTCTATTGCATTGTAAAACATTTATTTTCTCTTTAGAAAATTAATGTTTAAATGTTAAACCAGCACATTATATCACAGACTGTATTCACTGGCTGAAATCCATCAAGATTCTTGTGCTTTGCAAAACTGTTCGACATTATCAGCTGATGACCTGTGCTCTTCATTTCACTAAGTGCAGCTCTGTAGGTCTGTCAGTCCCCATTTGAGCTCTAATGCGCCTCTGATGCAGTCACCCTCCAGATCAACAGCCCGTCCGCTGGGACTGTGTGTTCATTATTATAAAACACTATATCAGCTCTATGTGTTCTGACAGTGAGAAAGAAAATGCACAACATATAATTGCAATTTAATGATTCTGATACCTTATCAGTTCTTATATTGTTTCTCTCTTGATTTGTTTTGTTTTTTTTCATCCAGTTGTCTTGCTGAATTCTAAGGAGTCCCAGGCAGAGCTGGGTTGGACCTCATATCCTTCTAATGGGGTAAGACCTTCATGTTTATTTATTAGATCATCATAGATGTAGACTATACCATGGTTTTAGTTAAGTGGAACTACTGTAAACCCAACATATACAGTAGTTCGTTGTAGGGCTGGGCGATATGATATTATCGTATATCGATGATGTCTCGTAAGTATCGCGTTGTCGATGTCAACAGTCAGGTAACAGACGATTATCGACATTATCGGGAAAAAATGACAAATGATAAACCTAGTAAGTTGCAAAAAATATTTTACATAGCCCCATAGTCACCATACAGGTTTTTTTGCATGCAAGAATGAAATTTAGTAGGAGGGTTTGGGAATCGAAAAGCTATTCCAATTTCGGAAATCAGATCAGATGCGTCAGGAATCAAATTACTTGTTATAAAATTACATTTCGATTCTGCGTCTCGATTTCGGTATGTGCATTTATTGTGATTTCAAAAGATTCAACTGCAAGAAGACGAAATAGAACTCACTTCTGCACTCGCACACTGTTTTCTGTGCTGCACACACACACAAAGCGCACGCACAAAAGCCGCCTCTTATATATGCAAACACTGGACTGAGCTCTCTTTCTCGTGTTCTTACACATTCAAATGGACAAATACACACAGAATTATATCAAAATATCCCATAAATACAATCAGTTATGTCTTAAGTGAACGTAAAGAG